TTGCGCCCGAATTGTCTCACTGAGAGGTGGAATAAAAAAAAACATTAATTTATTTAGGATGGTGTTGAATCCACATTTTATGAAATCATTGTTCTGGAGATCCTGCAATGAAAACATATATTCGCCATCTATGAAATGACAAGAGACCATGGCAGACGTGTGCGTTTGGGGGAGAGGCAGAATAAATGATCGATTACACTTGTTCAGAGCACGACCGCCAACTTTCGAAGTGCAACATATACAGCGTTCTTCAGATTCATGGCGAACCCGGCGAAAGACACACGCAGGTATGAAGCGCGCCAGGATGGAAAGAGAATTGTGTTTATGTTTTCGCCACAGAAAAAAAGAAATGTTAAACTACGTGCTAGTGGTTGGAACGTGATGGCAAAGTTTCTGAACTCACCGTTATCTTATTTTCAAGTTATAAGAGATTTTTTTTGGCATTTTCAATGATGTGCGTGTGTGATGTGCGCGTGTGCGTGTGCGTGTGCGTGTCAGTGTGTGTGTGTGTGTGTGTGTGTGTGTGTGTGTGTGTTTGTGTGTGTGTTTCATATTTACTCGATAGATGGCGTGTGTGTTCTCTTCTCGTAAGCGTTTAATGCGAGCGCTCCGTTAGCCGCCATGTCCTCGTGAAAAATGTACGTAAATTTGTTTATAACCTTTGGATTATAAAACAAGTTCTGAAACACTGCCCTCTGTTCCCAACGGGAAAACGAGCGTGCCGCCACGCGCATATTATTTTTACTGTAAGGTTTACTTTTCTCCCCAACACACGATATGTTTACAATAAGTGCCGCGGTCGGACGATGCTCGTAGTGCAACAGTAATAAAGCGACACGCGACTTGATAAAACGAAGGCAAACGCGGAAGAGAACGCAGCATGCGATGCGTGTAACGGCCATCCGATTCCGGAGGGCATACATACTACAGCCGACGGCACCAACGGAGGAGCGTTTCAGATGCGCCGCCATCTCTCGGGAGAAGTGCAAAGCGGGGCGCGACGAAAGCGGGCACAGATGCACTCTCGGGTGAAGTGTGGTCGTAATTAAAATAAAGTTCGCCCTGAACCTAAGCGACTACGGTAGGATTATTTATTTACTTACTTCGTAATACCACCATTTTTATTCGGAACGTTGGTAGGGTGGTTACATATAGGTTTGAAGATCATACGTTAGTGTTTGTGGGTTCTGTCTGAGAAGAAACAGCTTAGACAAGTTATAGGGTGAACCTAATTAGACTACACACTCGAAAGTACATATATATGCGATATTGGGATGGTATGTGTGCACTCGTCCACGTTCAGAAAGGAAGGCGATATGCTTTTCTCTCGTGCAGAGGCCCATCAATGTACTTTTTTAGCAAAAATGTTTGTTCTGGGTTTTTAATCCGGAACTTCAACGAGGGTCTCCACTATCGGGCAAATACTTGGGTTTCAGCAGGCAAGCAATGCACTCAGTATGGTTTGCCCCGATTTTAGAGCGCAGCTCTTAGGGGCCCGTTCCCGGCTTGAGCGGCATCGGCGTCGGCGTCGGCGTAACTAAGGTCATCCCAAGGTCACTTGACCCCCAAGGTCATCCCAAGGTCACGTGACCCCAAGGTCACCCCAAGTTCACGTGACCCCTCCCCAAGGGTCATCGGGGTGTCGCGTGACTCCCAAGGTCACCCCAAGGTCACGTGACCCCTTCCCCAGGGTCACGTGACCCCCAAGGTCACGTGACACCCAAAGTCACGTGGCTTCCCAAGTCACGTGACCCCCGATGACGTCATCAGTGACGTCACTGATAACGCCACCGGCATCCGCATCGTCATTGTCATCATCACTGATGACGTCACCGGCATCCGCATCGTCATTGTCATCATCACTGATGACGTCATCAGTGACGTCACTGATGACGTCACCGGCATCCGCATCGTCATCGTCATCATCACTGATGACGTCACCGGCATCCGCATCGTCGACGTCATCAGTGACGTCACTGATGACGTCACCGGCATCTGCATCGTCATCGTCATCATCGCTAATGACGTCATCAGTGACGTCGCTGATGACGTCATCAGTGACGTCACTGATGACGTCACCGGCATCCGCATCATCATCGTCATCATCACTGATGACGTCACCGGCATGGTCATTGTCATCATCACTGATGACGTCATCGGTATCCGCATCGTCATCGTTACTGATGACGTCATCGTCACGTGACCCCCCCCCCCCCAGTACCCTTCCCTCCTCCTCCTCAAGAGCTGCGCTCTAATTCGGCGTTACAGGGAGTTGTAAACGGCTTTCACTTTTTATTCACTACGTTTCAAACCTGCGACAATGTCTTAGCGTGAGCGATCTGACCCGATTCTGAGAAGCGATGGAAGAACTGCTGTGCTGATGAAGCTTGATAAATGCACGACATCTATGAAAAATTTGTCTTTTTGTGAAAATTTTAGTGGAAAAATGGGGCTCGTTTTTGTCCGTTTTCGGTAACGGCGTGTCGCCATTCCGGTTTATGTATTGGAAAGTTCTGTCGGCAGCCATTTTCCCCTTGAAATTTTCAGAAAAATTCCTTTTAACTTTTGAGCATGATAATAGTTAATGCTGAAACTTTGGCATCTGGTTCAGACCCTTATAGCGCTACATTTTATTTATTTATTTATTTAACAATACTGTCCGCCTTCACTTGAAGGCTATTACAGGAGAGGTAGCAACAATATATATAGAGTCACATCAAAAATTTTAACTCTATACATATGTACATAATGGAAGAAGACTGTTATACAATTTTTAATTGAAGACAACATGAACATATCGCTACACTTTGTAAAAAGAGAAAAAAAAGTAAAAAACGCCCCTTTTTTCATTGCAGGATAAATGTCTTTTCTAAAGAAAACTCGAATCGGGACATATTTGCAGAGTTAATAACATAATCTGGGAGTTGGTTCCACTCTTCAATTGTTTGCACAAAGAATGAATATTTAAAAAAACGTCTATCCTACTATTATGTAGTTAGATTGTTTTGTTGTGATTTAATCTGCGCGATCGCTCATATGTCTCTTTTAAATATAGTTCAGGTTCAAAATTTAAGTGCTTGTTATACAGCGCAAATAAGAATTTTAGCCGCGCTATTCTCCGTCAAGTTTCTAATGATTGAAGTCCACACTGGCTAAGCATTTCAGTCACAGAGTCTGTTCGTTTGTATTTATTAAGAATGAAACGTGCAGCCTGCCTTCGACTTTGACATTAGTGCGCAGAATGAACGTTCGGCGATAAGTAATTTATTTTCGCGGTAAAAAATAAAACAAAATCTTTTTATAGAGGGGTGCAGGGGGGGGGGGGGGTAACTTGATATTCTATTGGTTTTATTTTAGTCACAAGCATGCACTGCTAAAAGTATCAATTATTTACATTTCCTTCTCGTAAATTATGTGAGATGTAGACTGAATCTTTCCCAGTGCAACTGCTAAGTGTATTTGTTCGATTTGTTCTAGTTACGTTGTATTCTTTAACTGTCCTTTTTACCGTAGTGATTAAATACATTACGATGTAGACCCGATGAATTATATTGTTTTCTGTTCTTTGTCTTTTTTTATATATAAATTACTCCACACCTGCAAAAAAAACCCTTATAGGGGCAAATTAACAGTCTACTTTACTTTTGTACACCCTGTCTTGGAATTTATGAGCACTGTGAGGGACTCACATGGAAAAAAAATATTGAAAAATTAGAAAACGTTCGAAGAAAAGCTGCAAGATTTATCACATTCAGGTACCGAAGGACTGAATCCGTCAGTGCGATGCTTATCCAGCTTAGCTTGACGCCTCTAGAATAACGTAGAAGAGTGGCAAGATTAAAATTGCTTTATTCGATGCAAAAAAAAACATGTTCAACATAGATGCACTCCGATATTTAAAGTCTCGCTACACTAGAGGATTCCGAGGCAGCCATACTGAAATGCTGATGCCGATGAAAAACAAAATAAACTTTCTAAATTGTTCTTTTTTCTTTTTTTTTTCTTTTTTTTTTTTTACTGAGGGTTATAGTTGAGTGGAGCAATATACCGTAAGATGCTTTTGAATGTGACACCTCTGAATGTTTCGAGGTCAGTCTGAGAGGCCTGGCCCAACAACACTTAGTTTATTTTATTTTTTTGGTGTTCCTTTCCTCACCGATATTTATACACTTTTTATTGCATCCGTGTGTGAAACATTCGTGTGCATACCATTCGTGCAAATGTGCTTTAAAAAAATGGTTATAAACCCACTCCTGTACCGGCCGATTGGCCAACAGGGTAAAAAATTTTGAAGCCCATTTTCAATTAAAAGTAAAGTAAAAATAAGGAAAAAAAATTTTTTTTCCCAGATCCTCACAACAGGCACTTGCGTCTGGGTCTAGAAGGTGATGAAAAAAATTTAACGCAATATAAATACTAAATTTTTAAAAGAAATATGCTGTCAACAAGGTTTGCCTAGCTGGGCTATAAACTAGGCATAACTGGGCTAACAAAAGATATACGCACCTCCGCCTCTTGTCTCGTTGTTAAAAACCTCTGTACAGGTACTTCACGCTTTCCGTTTTTCTTTTTCCTCCTCTTTTCATCTCTTTTTTTCTCCTTGGCCCTTTCCCACCGCAAGATTCTATTACCTCTCTATCTTTCACGACTTTCACGATTTTGGGGAAGGAGGAAGCTAACACGATTATCTCCATCTCAAAGAAGAAAAACGAAAACTGACTAACTTTAAACATGCGTGTTTTTTTTTCTATTAAATTAAGTTCCAAGTGAGCGCCTGATGTGTACGTTTCTTCGACTCGTCCCTAGTCTCTTGGCACTGTTTCTATTTCGCCAGTCTTGCCATTTTTTTTTTCCTTTCCATTTTTCTCGTTTAATTGTGTCTTAAAAACGGCTGTATTTCTTCCTGTATTGTCTTATCATACTTTCTCTCTCTCTCTCTCTTCTTTCTTTCTTTCCCAGACTAAGAAAGCCAATGGAAACGACAAGGGGCTAGAGTCGCTATGAGATGCGCTGGAGCCGCCTTGCTTCACCACCTCCTTTTCGTCGCCATGAAACTCGTCAGGTGAGTCGATGTCTCACGCTTCAAAATTGTAGCCAGATATTCTTGCATGCCGATACGAATGTAATATGCATTCATGACCGAGTGATTTGGTGAAGACGACCCTCTGTGAAAGCACCGCCCATGTCAAATGGCTGCTGTCGCCTGATAGGGTTATCCTGTTTCTGAACTTTACAAGAGTCACTGACAAAAGGAAAACGGCAAAAGGTCCTTCAGCTGTCCCGTCTCCAGCGCGAGCTCTTTACCGTCGATGACGCTTCAGCTTCTCATGAGCTTCGAGCCTGCACTTGCAGCCAAAGTCGTTTTTCTTACCATTCCCTTAAAAACGTACCGAGTTACTGTTCCAGTTCCGCCGATGTAAGATGCAACGGCGGCGTTCCTCCCAAGATGAATCCGCTCCAGGAACGTCGATCCTTGAAACGCTGCTTTGCACATCACTGTCTGTAACCTCTTCTTGATGATTAAAATAGGAGTAAAATGTGTCCCAAAACAATTCGACCAAGTGTTAACCTAAACAGGTGCTTGCGCGCTACATCAATCACATAAACAGCCCCGGTAATAATCGCATCAGCAGCGACACCCAGAGACGAGCGGGAGAAACGAATTTCGAGTGACTTAAAAGCGTGACGTCATTGACTGCTCGTCAGACGATTGGTTGAAGCGGACGATGCCCCTCCATCTACCTCCTCGTCATGAGTTGTTTAAAAATATTGCGTTTTGAGATTGAAAAACGAGTTTATATCTTAAGGCATAGCCTCCTCTATACACACAAAGCCTGGCAGTTCGACGACGGAATCATAGAGTGCCCGGTCGCAGATATGTAGCGCGAGGATCTGGTAGCAGAGAGCATTTCTGGTATTCAGCACACAGCTACTGCAGCGGCGAGGACCCGAGACATGGTTTTCAAACCCGACGAGAAAAGAAACAGTAGCGCGAAGAACGCGATGAGCACGAGCGGACATTCCATCGCTCGGGAGAAGTGTGTTTCGGCGTCTCGACACAGCGGGGCGCCGGTTACATGCTTCTCTTCTCATCCGTTGTCTGCCGCACTACCTTTTCACTTTCGGCGGCCGCGTCTCATGGCGATCTGCCAGGCTTTGTCAGTATACGTCAACTCAGCTCTGTTATGTCACGGCGCGGTGGTGGCGCTTCGAGCGCACGTCCGGTCTGGGGCTGTGGGCGGAAGTCCCGATGCTAGACGTGCATTCCTGCGTTGTTTCAACGGAAACGAGGCTCTCGTCAAAACGCCGCGACTGGGGCTGTACCAAAAGAGTCGAGAAAGGTTTGAAGGTCAGTTTTTATGTGCTCGGTTTGTCTGAGAACGTGGATATGTGCCGTGAAAAGGGAAAACCAGAGGCCGTCGGACCACGATTGCTTGGGCGGGAAGCACTTTGGGTTGAATTCACGGATACTGGTGGTCGTCATTTTTTTTTTTTTTTTTTGTTCCAACATGAACGCGTCAAAAAACGTCAAGTTGAACGGACCACCTGCGGACTACGTTCAGTGCGTCTTCAAGCTCAAACGGCCGCCTGATCGTTCGAACTGTAGTCCGCTCTTTCAAACGTTTCTGCTTGTCATCTGGATGCTCTTTCAGACGACACCGGCCCGTAGACCAAACGTTGGCCCGGTAGTTGCGATAAGAAGTAAGTTCAGGCCTCAAAAGACTTAAGAGACTTAAGTTTGAGGGTTGGTTAGGGTAAGCAGTCTCGATGTAAACAGTAGACAAAAGGAGATGTTGATCACTGTTACCAGTGGCCATCACCGACTTGTTATGCCTGATTCACTTGGTCCAATTCTCCTTGCAATATTCTGAATCGACGTCTACCATCTCAGCTACGGTTCACACTTTTGCAGCCCGAGCGACGTCGCCACAGAAAATTGCCAGCGGAATCTCATAATGCGAATCAGGCTTTAGCGTACATTCTCTGCGGCGTCCACGCTGAATGAATCGCCGCATGTCACATTTTTCACGCGACTTTTTGCGGTGTAAAGAGGCTCGATAATTTCACTCAGGCCGCTCAAGTAGTCAGACATCGCCAGGAAGACGTAGAATTAACGACTCGAATGCAAAAAAGAGCAGGGGGACGCACACCGACGCCGACAGCATCGAATTGCAATGGTTTGTCTATGGGCGACGGCGAGCTTCTTGCTCACACTGCATCGCGCATGCGCGGCGCCGGTGGCGTCCACTAGGGGCGCTCTAGTTTGTTTGTAAACATGAGTTGGTGTATAGAGGAGGCCCTGCAAAGCGTTTCTTACCATTTTTTGTAACTTGCATCGCGTTGGTTCGAATTAATGTGTGGGGTTATAGCAAGAGAGGAAAAATATAATTAAAAAAGGTCTGATGTATTTTGAACATAAAGCGTGAGACACATGCGCGTAAATCCATCCGATCCGACGTTTGATCCGGCAATACGACTGCCTGATCCGAAAAGTTTGGTCGCTTCAGACGTCGGATCGGCAATCCGGTGTGCGTCTGACGTGTCAGGTAGTTTCGCATGGCGGACGGACTGTCGGAAGCGTCCAGCCAATGACAGCACAGCCAGCGCGAACGTCATGATGACGTACTGGGTCTGGCAGGGCGTACAAGAAAACGGGACTGGCCTGGGCGACGGGAAGCCGGGCGCGTGAGTCCTGCTGACCCATTCGAGAAAGATGGTCCCAGCAAAAAATGTACGCGCTAGCGAGAATGAGCTCCTAACTTCGCTCGTGCGAGCTGAAGTGTCAATCTGGGACCAGAGATCTACACCACGGACCTCCGCTGGAGCCCTAGGCGGAGCTGAACGGATCGTCGTTTCACATGCAAGGTCGGAAGCGCGTGTCTCAAACTGTCGCGTGCGGCGATTCGGAGCGGCTTTCGGACTGTCGCATCGGACGTCGGATCGGACGATTCTGCCGTCCATGTGTCTCGCGCTTAATAGGTAAAGAAGCTCAGAATTTTCAGCACATTTTTTATTGTTGATGACGTCATTGGTCTCAACCAATTGAGAACCGAAACGACAAGAGCGTGCAACAACCATGCGTGATCTTCCGAACTTTTGGAATTAACATCCAGTTATGAAGATGTGAACGCCCTACCGATCTACGGGTGTTCCAAGCAAACATTCGAGTGAGAGTCACGTGCTTGAAGGGATCCGAAGAGGTGACGTGCACTTATTCAGCCAGTCCTACCTCTAGAATTCTATGTCGTCATTATCTGACGCTCTATATCAATGTCGTCACGAAATGCGCGTGTTTGACACCGTTAGGCACACCCTTCGAAGCAGCATTTGGTTTTCTTCGACCCTTAAAATGCCCCTTTAAGGCAGGTTTTCTTTTTTTTTTACTCAGATAAATTTGCGTTTTTTTAAAAGTGATATTTGTGTTTTCATCATCAGTTGAAAAAGCTCTGTGTTGGTATTGTTTTTGTATGACAATGACATTGTATAATATGGTGTTTTTATTACAAAATATTGAGCCCGTCAAATCAAGGATTGACGGAATTGACGCTGCTACATCTGACAAAAATGAACAATTAATCAATAGACCCTTTCTTAAATGTAGTCTGGCCACTTTGATAACTATCACCATTTAAGTGGACATTATCCGAACATGTTACTAGCAAGTGAAGAAAGAATTGGAAGGCAAGCACTATGGGCTACGCATTTCAGGTTGCCATGTAAATCCTTGGAAATCAGCTTCGGCACGCCCAAGACAGCTAATGGCATATCAGGGGCGTTACTGAACTAACCACCTCGTATAGAGAGGTAGCCTTTAGATATTATTGAAACTAAAACATATATAAAAATGACTGTACAGCGAAGAGCAGCGTAACCTTCAAATGTCTGCCGTTGACGAAAAGGTACTAACTTTAACCGCCATTAGCACAGAAAAATCTGGACTTATATTTCACCCACTCTATGGCACTGAGTCACCAGTCTATGGCACTTTTGCTAAATTACCCAAGCACCAAGGAGCATGCTGCGAGTGTAGTTACACGCGCTGCACTTGCTGGTTTTTGCAGCAGTAACTGTACTAAAGCAAATGCCTGAAACAATCTTACATGTCCTTTCGTCGGTGCTTTTTTCCCCTTGAATTCTTTATACGGGGAAGGCGAGCGCGTGTACCTACATTCCCAGCATCCTCCTTGATCCTTGGGTATTTATCAAGAGGTATATTTGTGAAAGGGTGTCTAAAAAGAGCGGAAAAAGTGTAGTTTCGGATATCATCTGGTGCTCACTTCGGTAACGGAGTGGCGGACGTCATCTTCTTTTACGCCGGTATGTCACCTGAGGCCATTCCCCCGGCGTCAGGTAGCAGAAGAGAAAGAGCGCTTCTACTCGTTCGGCAACCTTTGTACGTTGACGATGCCAACGACCGATGTGGCCGCCCTAAGCGACTGCTGGAGGTTACCCAAACAGATGGGTTACTGTTTACGTCGCTATTCTTTTTACGGAGAACTCGTAGGACGAGACAGCGGAACCTTACTTTCCCTTTATTGGTTTCCATAGACGTCCCATTCTAAGCGTAAGAGATTTGTATAGAGGTAACAATAGACCTCTTTCGAAAGGCACGTGCTCATTGTTGAAAGGTCGGAAACACGGCACGATGACGGAACACGCGACAAAATCTACATGTGCTAGAAATGAAGTGCCATTAGTTGAGTTTTTAAGGTTCCAATACTGCCGGGGTCTTTTGTGTCCACCATAGTCCAGGTATTCCACAGCTTCCAGCAGAGGGCACGCTTTCAAAATAAGTATATTGAGCTGCGTGTTAGGTTCCTAGGGCTCCGAAAAACGGGGTTTTATAACAAATTGTGTCATGTATATCAGAGTATTTTTATTTCTTTATTGAAATGTCCCTTCAAGAAAGCCTTTAGGGGGAAGGGGGGGGGGGGGGGGAGGCGAAGGGGAGGAGGGTGAAAAAGACCTAAAGTTCTCAAACTAAGCGCTAACACGTAAAACGTGTCGCGTCATGTTGCCGTGGTAGGTCAGTCAGGACAGTACCCATTATATGAACCTCACTAATATATTTCATTTATTATATTGCCTAAGCGCAAGAATAAAACTGTGATATATTGTAGATAGGACATAGTATATATTTCTATGGATAGTATTGAATCTGAACTGCCGTTAGCGTGAGTCTATGCCAATGTGTATGTGGCAGTGCGTGAGGAAACTAGTAAAACATTTAATAGGTTAATTTTCTTTTGTCTTAAGATTATTAGCAATAGTGATTAACGGCCTTCTTCTTTATGCGCATATGCACGCGTGGGTGTGGGTGCATATCGGGTGAGGGATATGGTGACACTTACTTCGATTGTAAAATTGAGTACTTTTAGAAGAAGGTATGTGCGCAGTTTTCTTTCTTCTTTTTTCTTTTTTTTTTTCTTTCTGTAAATTTTAAAAGTACTTTTTTCCATAACACTCGCGTAGCCTGCTTTATATTAGAGTGGTCAACGTCTTGATTTGTTTTATATTTAATGTATTAAATGGACACAGACACCGAAAAGTTCTTGTTTTTGTTGTTGCGGTCTAAAACTAAGCAAGTTCTAGTCATAGACACGCAAAAAAAAAACCACAACGCGAAAAAAAATATAATCTTACGCACACGCGCGCTTTTTTTTTGGCGCTCTTCTCTTTTTCTTTTTTACCCTCCTCGCTTCTTTGTATTTCTTACGTAATCTATGACGAAATTTAGAAACTTTGTAAGCGACATCTCTATAACATTTAATAACGGCAATTCGTAAAACATGTTATTTTAACGCAATCGCGATTGCAATTGCGAAAGCACTGCCCCTTGTTTTGAAATCTATAAAATCGGAGTCCGGGAATAATGTCGCCCACTGGCTTTTTATCCTCCCTCGGAAAACATGGCGGCGTTCGGCAGATGTATATATAGCACTGAGGATCTGAGGATGATCGGCGAGTCGGGGAATCGGACGATGGTTTCTGTTCGGTGCTCGACGTCCTCTCAGACTTCGAGAAGGAAAGCGTTTAAAGGTCTAAACAACTGGGTTTGGGGGCCTGCGCACCGTACTTTCGATTGTGACTCCGCCGGAGCAACCTTTCACGCAGCACCGGCGCGACGTCGCACGTCGCACACAGAAGTCCATTGCGCGTCTCCTTCGACCTCACACCGTTTCAAAGATTTGGAGATCGCTAAAAGAGCCGTAAAATAACTTCAAACTCGAAAGTGAAGCGTCGTCTGCTCACAGCGCTAGGCGGCGGCACACACGGGGAACCGCGATTGATCGCGGAGACGGGCGAGAAACTTGAGTTACAGGACGACTCAATCTTTGACGTCATTGCACTTGCGCGGATCGCGCGAGAACTCCAAGTTCGGTTTTTGGATATTTTTTTTTCTTTTTTTAACTTCACAAGTACTGAGTTTCCAACCTCCGAATTTTTAGGGTAATGTCCAAGCATCGTTTTCAATCGTTTCGGATAATAAATATCATTTAAACTTGACCTCTCAGTGCCATTTTAAAGAAGGAGAAGAACCCATCCCCTGGATCTTTATTAGTCGTCAGGACAGGCAGACCAAACGCAAAGAATGTATCCATCATGAGATAAATACCAGGTACCGCACGGGGATGGGAAAGGCAGGGGCATTGTTTGCTGTACTTTTGGGGAGACCAAATTACTCTTTCGGATATTGCTCTCACCGAAATATTCTTACGTTTTGGTTTGACCTTAGTGTCTAAACTATTAATATCGCAAGTGGTTTCTGGCTGTATTCCATGCATTCTCACCAATCGTCTCAGGTATTGCTTTTTTATTAGTCTAATTCATAAATATGAGGCTGCAATAAAAATTGTCTCGCGAGCCGCATCCGGCTCTTCGGGGGGTCCAAGTGCGGCTCGCGGCTCCCATGGTAAGCGTACGCGCCTTCCCCTTCTGTGTCTCCAAGGCAAAAAAGTTCTAAAATCCAAAGAAAAAAAAACAAGCTCATAGACTTGGCAATTTTGTATACACTACCCTGTTTCCTTTATTGCTCTAGAAAGAATTTTAAACCGTATACGTATAACGGGCGTTAGGGGCGGTGACTGGTAGCGTACCATGCATTCATTTTCGCTTACGGCGGTTGAAGACACGTTCTGCTGCCTAATGTTATTTCCTGTAATCGACAATTATATTTGTCCCCTTTGGAAACGACTGTTCCCTCTATATTGTCTTGTCAAAAATATCTCCCCCCCCCCTTTTTTTCCCCTTTTTTTTTTTTGTGCGTTCTAAATTTTTGCTGTTTTACCTGTGGTACTAACCCCCATGTCACACGGCCACCCCTGCTTTGACGGAATCTCCCAAGATAAAAATATATTTAATTTCTTTTTCTACGTCATTTTACAGGCCCGAAAATTTGGATCTGGAGTCTATTCTTCCTGAAAGACCCGGTGACTACGACAGCCTGGAACCTCCCAAGGAAAACGGTAGGTGACGCTTGGCGAACGCTGACGATAGGTGTCGTAAGCCGCCGCCCAATTCGAAGGATTCAGCCGCATGCATTCTGCAGGCGCTGTCCGGGGCATGTTTCTCTCTCGTGTGACGGATCCTCTCGCATTGGTCGAACATAAACCGTCTGCACACATGCTTTAAGCATACGCATGTATGAAGCAAACATGCTCGGAGTATACACTCCGTGCAACGCGACTGGCGCGCCGCCGCGCGGCCGGTAGCGAAGGTAGGCAGTGAGAACCCCGGAGAAAACGAAACCGAAACCACGCCGCGTACGTTGGTACGCATTGAAGTCGGAGTGGTGCGGTTGCGCTGGGTTCACAGCATGAAGTGCTGCCTGTGCTGCGTCATTAAGTGCTTCAATAGTTATGCGTCGTATCTCGTGGGGACAAAGTTTCACAGTTTTTCACCTCGCCGATGTTTTCTGGGACAGCGACAACGATGGAGCCGTGCCGTACGACGCGAGAAATTTGGTCTCCCGATCATGTCTGCCACTGTGTCATCACGGCTGACATATTCTACACTGCCGCTTTGCGCTCTGCGTTTGTTTTCGTACCAGTAACGCCTACATGTCTAAGCGCCGATGGGACAAACTGAAATGCCATCCCACATTCGCGGGTAGGAAGTGCCAATTTCGTTGGAGGAATGCCCTCCAAAGAAGTTTCGTCCCCATCGTACGTGTCATTGATATTTCCGGACAAGTATGGCGCGCAATCTGTACTTCATGAAGAAAGATTCGAACGGTAAAAAAAGTGACAAATATAAACCTAAAGAAAACAACAATGAAACTCGGAATCACTGGAGAATCGACGTTTGAGTATGGAAGTTTATGTGGTGTGCTTTCTTTCTAAATCAGCCTCCTTTTGGATGTGAAAACGCTGACACCCTGAGTTCTGTAGACAACAATTTTTTTTTCTCGGCTTTAGGGCCACCTATCGCAAAGTTGTTCGAACTGGAAGTATCGTCCATTGGTCCCTTTTTACCTGTAAAGTGTGCACCTCCCACGATGAGTGATATTATCTTGACAGCCTTTGACGGTCAAAACTGGTTCCCATTTAGTTACGCCGCCCAAACTAAATTTCCACCTGGTTTCGCTATGCCAACTCTTTTTGTTATAATAAGTGTTGTGCCAAGTGACGGTCATGTCACAGTACCTGTGCGCCGAAAATCAGCACCTCGCACAACAGGTTATTACACAACAGCTGACCGCAAAAGCCCTTGGCGGCCAAACCGTGTGTTGGCCGACAGCTTTGTTTTCTCGGCTTTGGAACCACCTTCCGTAAAGTTGTTTCAATTGGAAGTACAGACCACCAGTCCCTTCCTACCCGTAAAGTCTCCACCTCCCCCGACCAGTGGTATTCTCTTGACAGCCTTTTCATGGTCAAAACCGGTTCCCATTGAGTTACGCCGCCCAAACCAAATTTTCACCTGGTTTCCCTATGCCACCTTTTTCTTTTTGTATAATAAGTGATCTGTCATGTTACTGTCAAGTCAAAGCACCTGTCTACCCAAATCTGCACTTTGCACAGCCCGCTATAACACAACATTTTGGGTCCAATATTGGATATCCCGTACAGCTTTATTTCTTTATTCGTTAGAAACATAACTTTCACCCCTGCTGGCTCAAAGCAACTTGGCACTCTTCGTGCGCAAACTTAGTGAACATCTCACTCGCCTCCAAATATCATCGTTCCAGCAGCCATAGGTTTACAGTGACGAGCGAAATAAATTTCCCACTCAGAGCAATTATGGTGGCGGCCGTCTTGTTTTTCGGAAAATTGCCCCAATTCCTTTTTCGGCCGCAACTAGAGAAATTACCCCTAATAACGACTCAAACTCAATATATAAGTGGAAAACAGCTAAATGCCCTTCTGCCCCAGCACTCATTCAACGTCACCCTCAACTTATCGGCTCAAAAAGCAAACGTTTCGTCCGCGCGCGCTTCCGCCGCCACAGTTTGGCATGCGAAAAGGCGCCGCAGGCTGCTGAACGCGCCTCACAGTCGAACGCCGGCTCCTCCGCTAGCGGTGCTGCGCGCGTTTTTCAAAGCGCCCCCTATAGTTCCCGCACGGAGTGTATAGGTGAGGCGTGTACGCAGGTAATTCTGTCGTTATGTCTGTGAAGAAACTCCGTGTCTTTCGTAGATGATGAATGGGCAGTGTAACTTCGGCTTTGTAAGCCTGGGTCGCACCGCCTATTCATTATACGAAAGACAGTCTGCCAACAGATTCGAACGCGAGTCGCCACGCGATCCGTGCTTCGAATGCCGGACGGCAATGGGTCCGAGTAGAAAGCTTGGCACGCGGCGATCGAACCACGGATATTGCTGTGAATCGTGTTTGCGGGCGATGTGTCTGCAATGTAATTCCGGCTTTACAAACGTTAAAAAAAAAAAAAAAGTTTTTTGTTGTTTTTTTTTGCGCTGGAAAAGTGAATTCTTTTGAAACTTTGGCGCTTTATCCCCACCACAGGCGGAAATATAGCATTCTGGTATATGCGGTTATTTTAGCGTCGTAAAAATACACAGTCTAATTTTGTAGGCTAATACTCTAGATATGCTGTACGGTTAAGGTGATTTCATTTATGGTAAATAAATTGGAAGGAGTGAAATTACCGCTGTTATGCAATCGTTTCCACTTGTACCTTGAAAGAATTGACGAGGAAGGCGGACGATTACGATGTTTTTGTGTGTTTGTTTGTTAGCGATTATAAAAAGAAAAGTGATGTCACTTGAAATGCCGTCGGTCGGTATACTTTACCTTTACATTGACAAATTTCACCAAAGAGAGGTGCCTTTCGATTTCTAATTTGTAACTGTCTGAGGGGTCTTGGAATAGGAGGTTGATCTGCTCAGGTTTAATCTTTTATTTTGAAAATGTTTGTCGTCTATTCCTACAATTCACATTCAAACACCGTGGCACTATATCTAATGCGCGCACAAAAAGGAGACGGAATAACACAAACGGCAGTCAAGGTCAGTAAGAGAGAAGGCCATATATGAAAGTTTGTTTATTGTCAAGATAGCTACTAGCATTAATTACGAAATATTCGCTTTTTGATGAATCTGCGTACGAATTGACTTACATTGCACGTTCCACGAGTGTTTTTAACATATATACACATTTGCAAGCAGTCACGCTTCAGGAACTACTTTGGTCACCGCGGGTGGAAAGCGCTTTGTCGGGGCACCAATTGTTAGCATCGTCAGCAAGATTTAAATATCAGACGATCTACACGCATCAGCAGCAAGGTGGTGGCGCCAAGAAGCCGTTTTTGCCAAAGTGTATATACTGCAAGCACATTTGAAGAACGCGTGATGAACCTGTGGAAAGAAACAGAAACAGACTAATTTTGTTCTGTAGTGTTGAAGAGCCATTTCACAGAGATGCCTTGCAATCCGCGTTCTGTTATACAAAGGTATTCATAAATAAGGCATATTTATAAATGTGAGCTTCGCGGTTTATGCCGTACAAATGGCTGTGTCTGTATGTGTTTCAGTGTATAGTGTAACCAGTGTTTTCGAAAAATGTATAACGACGTTTAGCTCAAGCTATTTTATGCCTATCTTGTTCTAACTGCAAAAACACTGATTACTTTTCCCACTCCTACAAAGTCTCCTGAGATGTAATATCGATTAATAAATAAATAAATAATAAACAGAACATCATTCGATCCCCTTGTCGCTCCAAAGAAAAATATGACTTGATCCTTTTTTTTAGTTCCATCACTGCAAAACAGTGTATGTAGCTCACTCTTTCCCTCCAGGAAGGAGCGTGTTACAAAAACGCCGTATTGTGGAAGGCATTTCCGCATAAAACCGTAACTTTTTTATAATAAAGATGGTTTCACCATGGCCACCTATGCCAGTTCTTAATCAACTTCCTTAGCAGGCTTCAAGAGAACACCACTTGGGAGCCCTGCGGCTCTCGGGTCTTCTTGACAACCGGAGACAGGCCCAGACGTATCGGTCGATAAGTTCCTAAACTAGCTTCGTAACCCAGCTAAGATGTCTTTTTTCGTGTCTCCGAGTGGAGCTTGACGACTGTTTCTCTCGCCATTTGCCGGTCAGGGCATTAGGATGTGGGAGCTTCTGGGCTTGTAGATGTCTAAGCCGGTCTTAATCTCCCCTGCGGCTAGGTCTCTGCAAGTGGTGGTTACGCAGAGGTACCACTTCACCGGTTAGCTCAGGGATCCTTGCCTCCTTCGTGTTTTCAGACCACTAACAAGCCTTCAGGGGAAGAGAAGGGAGGGGGGGGGGGGGGTTGGATTTAAGGGACACTTTGAGTTCACCATACTTACTCTAAAGTGGTTCAGATGGCTGACTTGACACTTTTCCCCAGGCAACCCAACTGTGGTTCGTTTTCACTTCACGGTCCTCAGCTTAGACTCCATTGACGAAGGTTCTATGGTAAGTGACAAAGCACGATTTACGTTTCATCAATAAAGTTATGTTTCCTTCTTTCTTTTTGTGTCTGTTTTTTCCTCTCTTTCTCTTTTTTTTTTTTTGTCTTTAGTTGATTTTTTTATTCAATCATTTATTTGATGTATCACAGTTTTGCAAACTCTCTAGAGCCCGTTTCCAGTAAATCATTTGCATGCGATACACCTGCCTGGTTCTCAAAATTTTCGGACGTTCGTAACATCAACGCCGAGCTGAGAGCGTCTCGAGATTCTGCTCGGAAATTTAGGCTTAGGTAAACTGGTGTTGCTTTTTGGTTGATCTTAACCTTTAGGCATCTATACTGCAGATAGATATGCTATTTGATTGTATATCTGGATCTGTATTTTGGTATTGAAATAACATTCTGATATTACTTTTTTTTAAGATATAAAAAACAATACTCCCATCTCAGAGGAAAGTGGCCTTCTTGCACTACAAAAAGTAGCATCGCTACTTCCTCTTTACGCTGACAAGGTGTTATGGTAACCGAAATGCTGCCTCCACTAACGACAGACTATTTCCCCTGGCACCGTTTCCTTCCGCCGTCACAGACTTACGTGGCCGACATCTTCATGTCGCAAACCTGGCACGACCACCGGCTGCGGCTACCGCGGAACATGACGGCCAAGTACCGGCTTCTCCCGGTCAGCTGGCTCAAGCGCATGTGGAGACCGGACTCTTTCTTCAAGAACGCCAAGAGGGTCACCTTCCAGGAGATGACCATACCCAACCACTACATCTGGCTCTACTCGGATCGTCGGATTCTCTACATGGTCAAGTGAGTGCACGCTTTGTAATGTCTCGAGCGACCAATCATCCCTTCAACTTTCACAATTGGCTGTCATCGAATCGGGTAGATTCCGTATATATTACGGTGCCTAAAACGCTTCTCCGACTGAAGTGTTCGGCGTCCTATTCTGCCCGTGTATCGAAAGTGGTCCCGAAGTGGCAACAAATGATATCACATGAGCCGGTGTGTCATGTTGTCAGATGTTGCGATTCTGTCGGATGGTCGTAGAAGTTTTAAGTGTCAAAACGTACGATGGAACTCCTCACTGCTGAAGCCTCCGCGAATTGCCAAGCTGAAGAGCGGCTTGCAGCCGAAGAGACTTCTTCCGCATCCTAATCCGCTTCTGTGCAACCACCAGGATCATGGCAGGCAACCGCGTGACGCTTTAATGACGTCATCAGGCGTAAATCTATAGTCAGAAACACACCAATCGGAGACGCGTTTTTGGCACCATAGAATTCTACCTATAAAGACAAAGTCGGCCACCTTTTTGGTGCATCTACGCTGAAACTAGGCATTGCTTAAGTGTTTTGACGTTTTCATGAAACTGAACGCACTGCAAAAGAACAAGGATCGGTGTGGAATACACCCCGTTGCTCTAGTGTCTTTCTTGCTTGCCCTTGTCCACCCAGAAGAAGGTACCACGATGCGAGTTGTGGTGATTTCTTTGCTCCTTGTTCCTGGCTTCCTGTCTTACCTTGTTATACGGAACTGTGCCGAACGCCCAATGTTTTAGTAGTATCGCTTTTACATTTTGTGTCCACTGCTGCGTGACATTTACTGTTGAGCAAGCAGCTCAACAGTCAGCTGCAAGTCACCTCGGAAGTGGCCAAAAAGGGCATCTTTGAGTAATGTCAACCAGTGACCGATTGGTCACGATCACCGCCTTGCATTAGGACACAGTACTCGAAGGCTTGAGTTCAAGATCGGGGCTCGCTGGCTCCAGTGATGCAATTTGTGGCAACCTCGGGACCACTTTTGTTGCTTTAGGATAATAGCTATAGGGTGCGTTCCAGGCACTGTAGCTGAGTGGACACGTCGGCAGGCAATCTTAATGGTGCGATGGCGCAAACAACAGGATTGCCCCAAGACCATACCCTGTCGAAGCTATCGCCCGAGCGCCGCCATGTTTACCGTTCATTTCACTCACTCTTGGCGAGCGGAAACCACCACTAGCACGCTCCTATAGACTCTTGGCTGCACGCGACTGCATTTCAACGCAAGCGTATGCATAAATTTTACGCAACCGGATTCTGGAACGTTCAGCTTCCACTTTTTTGCCACCGATCGCAGCGCCCTCGAACGCGAATGTGTGTACCAGCCTCGCGCCGCAGCGGACACTGCGAACCATCGGAGCCAATACAAGAGCTGAGGGGGTGTCACGTGACATTTCGGTTGGGCGCAGGGACGTGCAGACTGCGAAGTAACGGGATGAGCTTAGAGCGCTGGACCGACTGGAAAGGCCCTTAGCGTCCACTGTCGTCTATCTTAGGATGACACGTAGTGCCAAAAAGAAGAAAAAAGGTGGATGTTTTGGGAACGTTGGCAGACGAACGGAATCGATTAGTTTACTTGTGTAAACTTTGGTGACAGCCGCTTCTGCGTTTGGCAAACATGCCCGGGAAGCATTCCCGGCTGTCAGGAGAGCCCTATGATCGTTCGCAATATGTCCATGTTTTCCTGAGGGCACTAAATTTATTTGGAGCAGGAGCGAAACTTCTTTTATAATTCTATGGACTTCCTGTGAGAATGCGGAGGTGTAACATTTATATTGAAGTGCAGGATCATTTTGTTGATACAAATTTTTCTATGGGAGCTCAGCACTTTGCCGGGAACGTGTAGCACGAGAAATATGGTACGTTAAAGTCACAGGGCATAAGCAAAAAGTTGTTATGCTTTCTTTCTTATTCTATCTCGATCGTATATATGATGAAGAGTCGTAATAAACTTCGAATTAGTAAATCCCACAGTACGCATCTTTGACTAACATATATATATAGATAGATAGATATATATAGATAGATAGATAGATAGATAGATATATAGATAGATAGATAGATAGATAGATAGATATAGATAGATAGATAGATAGATAGATATATAGATAGATAGATAGATAGATAGATATATAGATAGATATATAGATAGATAGATATATAGATATATAGATAGATATATAGATAGATAGATAGATAGATAGATAGATAGATAGATAGATAGATAGATAGATAGATAGATAGATAGATAGATAGATAGATATAGATAGATATAGATAGATATAGATAGATAGATATAGATAGATATAGATATAGATAGATAGATATAGATATAGATAGATAGATATAGATAGATATAGATAGATAGATATAGATAGATATACATAGATATAGATAGATAGATATAGATAGATATAGATAGATAGATAGATAGATAGATATAGATAGATAGATAGATATAGATAGATAGATAGATAGATAGATAGATAGATAGATAGATAGATAGATAGATAGATAGATAGATAGATAGATAGATAGATAGATAGATAGAATCGTATAATCGTAACACACCGTGCACTTAGATAAGGGGTCTCTAAACGTTTTAGCTCAGGGCCGGATTTGGGATTCAAAGAACCAGGAAAATATCGCAGTTAGAGTTTTAAAAAAAACTGAAGTGGTTTAATAAAATACTTTTTTTTTTATTTTAATATTTGTCGCTTATGACATTTTCCCATAATTGTAAACCAAAAAACTCTCGGGACATAAATAAAAGTGCAGAGGAAGTTTAGCTTATTCACACCGGGCAGAATACGAATGAGAAGGGTAGAACTGGGGGTGACACTATGCAGTGGTTCTGACACAAGACACTAAACATGACAACTCAAATGAATTTTAACATAATTTACCGACACGTAACGGGTGGCAAAGAATGGTGATGCTGGTGTTGACAACGTGCAATATATGTACTATGTTATATGACACGCTACTATCAGCTAGGAATCAGAACGACCTGAGCTTCCATGAGTTTGCTGGTCGTCGCAACGCCGTTACTGTACGCGTACTTTTCTTTCTTTTTTTCTTTTTTTTCTTGCACCTTTTGCAGCAGTGGATACGAGCAGCGGGCCGGGCGTCAGGGAAGATCATTGGCAGCTGCGAGTCGGGGTTTGTAGACCCCTGACTTAGACTAAAACGCGCACACAAAATCTACTCTTCAGTGTGATTATACGGAAATATCATCGTGAGCAAACATTACCCTCTGTCACAAGACTAACTTCAATCAATTGTTTGCGCACAATTCGCACACGTAATTCATATCTAATCCGCCTTAGGAAATGCCTACAGAATGCTCCTTTGCATTGGCAAGACGCGCATAGGCAAACGGGAAGAGAAAATCCAGTCATGGGGCTCGACAGAGTCAAGTATTTGTGTGATTTTTCCTCGATCCTTATTGAATCAAAGAAATTGCCTGCATCCCTAACAAAGTCGGACTTTATTGACTACTTATTGGTGGAATCAGTGTTTTAGTTTCTAGTTAAACTAGTATGTTCATTTTGGGTATAAATATAAACACGTGCTCTTATTACATTGTATAGAGGGCTTAAAAATGTGTCTTATGTCTTAAACCACGTCGCAGTTCTCTTGTTGCAAGATGTGACTTATGGTACATTAATTGTGCCTCTCCTGCCACATTCCTGATTGGACCAAGTAGTATTAATAAGTAAATAAATAAATAAACAAAACGCTGTTCAAACTTTTTATAGAGAGAGAGGGAGAGAGAGGGGGGTGGGGGGGAGCGGCAAGAAGGTTCTAAAAAAATAATATCGAGGAAGGGATTGTAGTGCTCGTTTATAAAGGGCAGCGTCGAAAAGGAAAACCAGCGAGGTTGTCTGATACTTTTTATGGTGCCGAAATGACGTAGTTTACATTATGTCCGAATCAACGGCCGTGTTGCCAACCTACTAAGAAAGACGACTAGTTGGCAAACAAGGTGAACACTAACGTCACCAAAGACCTTACTAGATACATATATTGGACACTCTGCACGATCACTAATGCTCTAAGGGAAATAGATATTTCACAACCGATGCCACGTCGAGAGGTAGCGCTACTGGACACAGCGATTACCCGGAAAGTGTTTTCTTATTAGCAAAAGTATTAAGTATTTCAATGTTTTATGCCCTCTCGTGCCAGATACATAAGGACAGATCATTGACGGTAACGGGCCGCTTGAACAGAAGGGCTTTAAACGCGGCAGTGTTTCGTCAGTCCTAATAATTACGTTTCCCCCTGACGAGGCTAGTCTTCAACATTCCCCTCTAGTAAAGTATACAGTTCTACAATTCGGTATTATACAATCCCCTCAAGGACTATATAGTCGAGTTTTGGGCTATCACTCCATCGGGAGCATCGGTCTGAACCTAAAAATTCACCATCGATAACCAATCTAAAATTCTCGTTAATTAACCGCGCGAGTTTTCAAAA